TGCTGATTTTATACATACTGTGTATATTTAAATAAAGTATACTTCTTTTCTGGGGCACAAGACAACTGTCGGCAAACAAAAAAAAAAAAACAAAACGACAAAAAAAAAAACCAAAACGACAAAAAAATAAAAATAAAAAGTATAAAAATTCGTCTACTTTCCCATAATCCCCTTCGAACTTTTTCAAAGTTATCAGTTTAGTACGTAAATAATTTCAGTATCAAATAAGTCTCATACTTTTGTTAAGCAATCCTAACTTATTCAAAACTATTGAAAGAATGTTTGATCCGTAACTTTGTACAGTATTGTATTAGATTGAGTATTTGTAAAAGTGATGAATATGAATTTATATAAAATAATTATAAAAATTTATCAAAAATTGATAAAATAATTCATTATTTCAGATGTTTTAAATTTATAATTTTTGGTTTTTTTTTTTAAATTTATAATTTCGGCTCAGTAAGTACTTCTACTTTTCTTGAGCGACAGATATCAATATCATTAAAAGAGGTATAGGGTACTCAACCTATATACTAATTCTGTCACCAAAACAGTTTCCCTCCTAACTAGCTACATAAAAAACAGCCCTGACAAGTAAAATCTATTAATAGCTACATAAAACACAGCTTTGATTAACATTTAATAGCTACATGTATAAATTGTATATGAGAAAGCCTTGTTGTATCCCTAAGATACAGCAGATGTGGTATCCCAAACCTACCCCAAACAACCACAGCAGCTTCCTTCTCCATTGATGAAGTGGGTCAAATAAAAAAAAAAAAAAAAAACCGATGTAGTGTTTTTTCATTGGTTTGAGATATTACATCTATTGTATCTTAGGGATATACTAGATTTTCTCCTCATGTACATCTTAGAAGTTTTTTCTTTTTTTTGAATGGCCATATACAACTTAGAAGTACTTCTCAAAAACTATGTTTGATCCAATTGTAATTTTTGCGGTAAAATCCTTCATAGTAATTGCTTTAAAGAGATTGAAAAAAATTAAAATGTCTTAATAAGTAAATTGTTAAAAATGATAAATGAAAATGTTAAAATATATAAAATGAATCAATCTATAAAAAAAATTTATTAAAAACTATTTCAACAATATCATAAAAACTTATGAAATTTCCACTTCTCTGGCTTTAAAGTACTTTAAGAATTAAACACAACTTTTCCATAAATGAATGTAGTGGTTTAATTGGAAACATCTGTCCATTAGAAGACAAAAAAAGGGAACTAATGATTTCTACGAGGAAAACTAAGAAAAGTGGTATACTAATGGATAGAAAGTTCCCCAAAATGCGGCTTGTACGAATCGATGAAAATTCCAAACAAAAGAAAATTTCCATACCTGCCATTCTTTTAGCCCTTGAAGACTATCTGGGTTCGATTTCTTGACGGCGACGGCCATGCCAACGCCGACCTTGGACGGTGCATAGGTCTTCTCGTCCACCCATCCCTTGAATACCCTCCCAAATCCACCCTCCCCTAGCACTGTAGCCGGTTTAAAGTTCCCCGTGGCCGCCTTGAGTTCCGAGAGTGTGAACAACTTCAAGTGTGGGGTAACAATCTTTCCGCTCGGAGGCAGAGGTAGCTCATGCCCCTTGCTCCTCCATGTTTCCACCGGAGGCTTTCCATTTTCCGTTACAGGCATGTCTCCGTTCTTCACTGCCGGCACTCCATTTTGCTTGTCGTCTTCCTTCAACAATTCTGAATCAACAAACAATCGAGTCAATAAAAAAAAAAAAAAAAATCCTACAAAGAAAAACATTTACATATATATATTAGGTTTATACTTCATATATGGTTCCTTCATATAATTTAAATTCAAATATTTACCTTTATCCAGAGGTTTCGTCGAGCATGGGGTCTGATGATTAACAACGGGAGTTCCATAGCAGTTACCCATACTGATAAATGAGATATCCTCTCCGCCGACTCCGATTTCAAATTTGACTCGGACTCCGACCCCGACTCCGATCTCAGTTTCTTCTGAATGAAGAGATCACTATTTAGATGAAAGTATAGACTTGACCTTGGCGGTTCTTGCAAGTTAATTTCTAAGAAGGGGTGAGGAAGGGGCAGAGGAAAGCAATTACAATAATATCACGATAATTGGAATTGATGGGGTGATTCTCTTGTTTTCCTCAATCTCGTTTGTGTCAGCTTCTTCCAAGTTATGATTGTTCCTCATCTATCTCTTTTTATAATCACTTAATTATTCCCCTAATTGTACTGCTAAAATTAATGAAAATGGAAAATTCAAGAAAGTCAATGGTATCTCAGGCCAACTACCTTGTTGTCCCCTCTCATTGAACGGTCCACGACTTAATTTAATTAATTATCCTTCCTTTTCTATCTTAACTGTTGGGTGGGGTGGGGTTGGGTAGGGGAGGACTGTAAATTAGCTAGCCCCTCTACTTGCACTTGTAGGACATATAAGCCCTCTACTAAATTAAATTTGTGAAAAATGAGCTGTTCTAGTCTTTGATTTGATCTTTAGGCTTATCAAAATAGAAAAGTCTTTGATTTAGGAAAATAGGTTTTTTTTCATTGCTAAGGTCATCTTTTCATATCCAAGGTATTTGACACGGTACTTTGCTTTCCAATGTTTGAAGTGGATCTTTCTTTTTTTTTTTCCCCAATCATCATACATGAAAAAATTTATGAGAAAAATATGAGTAGACTTAAAGTTGAAAAGGCAAAAGAACCATATAAAACACCTAAAATGAACGATAAAACCCATTAGAAGAAAAGGAAAAAGGTGAAAAAGTTTTTCTTGGGTAGCTCTATGTTCACTTTTTGGTTGCTTCAATTACCTTTTTGGGTGGTTTGTATTGAGAGAAGAAGCTGGATGAAAGCAAAGACAAACAACTCGCACATAGTAATTTGAAGAGTAAACAGACAACCTGCAAATCAAATCCATTTTGAGGAAAAGTTACAAATATCTATTTTTTTCTTTTTTCATCATTCAAATCTTGTGAAAAACTTACCAATATTGGAAACACTAAAAAATGTTCAAATCTCAAAATAAACTGGTAAAATAGATTCTTTTAAGGTAGAAAAAATAAATTTTAGGGTTGGGTTCTTTGGTTAGAGTGTTCTTCAAGTAATCAAGTGATGTTATTTCATCTTTAAATTCAATGATCACGTGGGATTATGAGGATTGTGACTTGAAGAGGTTTGATTGTGAGTGTTGGGCTATTCCCTAGACAATTGAAATCTCAATAATGCATTGTCATTTTAATTGGTTTAGATGGAAAGAACTTGTTGGATGATGATACTAACCATTTAATAAGGACTAATGTGCCTGAACAATATATGCAAGTTTGAGGGCTGATTTTTCGCCAATTTCAGTATAGGGATTGATAGGTCTTAAAAGTACAAGTGGAAGGTTTAATTTGCACTTTATCTAATTTTTGAGATGAAATTAAAAGTGCATGAACTCATGGTTACCTAACTTTTACATCATCCCTAGATAATCCACATAAAATTAACGACAATCCATTAGGGAAGAAATATGGACACTAACATCATTTACCAATATCCAGCTATAACTTTTTCAATTACCATTTAAAAAAAAATTCCAGTTAAATTGATAGAACGAATTTGGGAAAATTAATGGTGAAATCAATATCTATAGACACGTTATAGTCGATGGAAATTAACTAATGACGGAAATTTTCCAATAGAGACTGATGGAAAATTATTGATTTGACTATTCTATCCTTTTTTTTTTTTACGAACTATATTTTTTTCAAAGTCAATAAGTTAAAATAAAAAGTTTTGAATTTGAATTAATAATATGAATTGAAAGATGTGAAAGAGACAAAAGGAGTTATATTTTTCTTCTTTTTCTTTAAATTAAACTCAAAAAGATTTCTCTTTTTCTTGCAGTCAACTTATATACAGCTTAAAAAAAAAGCACAAAATAATTAAATATGTAGATGAGGGAATTTAGATCTAGAATCGTTCTTTGGGTCGACTAACCTTTTCATACCAGTAGAAGCAATTACTAAGTAAGAGAGTAGGACCCAACACGTTGGACTCGGTTTCATTGACCAAGACAATTCACATCATCAAAATTTTTCAAGATTAGAATATCTTCGGGTTTTTTTTTTTAATCTTATTTAACTAGTAAATTAATCTCATCTAATTATATTTGTCTTATTTAATAATAAAACCTCTTCTAATTTTTCTTCTTTGGCTGCTCAAAATGATTCAGCATTCACTGATCATTTGAAAGGATTAATTATATTTGTGTCAAAGTGATTAATCTAATTTCTGTTTATTTGTTTTAAAATAATAATTTTTTTATTTTTTTACATATTAAAATTTTTACAAGAATTTATATTTTTTATCTATATATTAAATTTAATAAAGAAATAAAGATGAAGATAAAATTTTAATAATAAAGAAGAAAATTAAAATTAAGTTATAAAAATAGGGTTAAAGTTAAAAAATATTTTTCTACATAGAAAAATAAAAAATAACATGACATTTGAGATTATTTTTTTTAACAAAAAAAAAAACTAAGGTTTTTTGGGGGAATGGAGTACTAATGTGTCTCTAAACTTTCTTCTATTACTTTAAAAAATAATAATAATAAAGAAGTTATAATACGTATATAGTGAGAGAAGGAGAAAACCAGCAAAAGTACTA